CTCTCTCTGTATATATATATATATATATATATATATATATATATATATAAAATATGAATGCATACTAATATAATATACATAATTTGATCTATATGTATATATATATATATATATTTTCATAATTTTCATTTTATTATCTTTTAATAATTATTATTTATTTTAAATTTAACTGCTCATCGAAAAAAATTATGAGTGAAGAATAATTTGGTAAATTAAAAGTATTTTGTATAAATTATAATTTAAAATATTTTTAAAAATCTTTATAGAATATTATTTAGCGTTGTTATAGTTTAAAATAAATGAAATAAAATGCATATTTTAACCTAAGTAAAGAGAAAAATTATAGTAGTCACATATCTTTAGGAAGAAGAAAGTAGTTTATTGTTATGTATTTTAAATCTAGAGAAGAAATGAAAACGTACAGTAATACTTACATTTCTTAAAAAAATTAAAATATAATTTACTTTAACATATATCGTTAAGTTAAATAGTATATTTTAATATAAAAATATAATGATTAAATTTTTAAGAGAGAGATAGTGATTAATCACTTTCAAAAATCATGAATGCACACAAAATAAATAATCCCCTTCCAACATAATTTATTTCATATCTAAGATTAAAATTTGAAACCTAAATATTTTGATTAAAGAATACAATCATCTACAAGTTGTACCAACTAATATTAGTAATGTTTAACATCTAAAGTATATATGTTATAATATAGTCGGACGTGTAATGTTGATAACTTTTTATTTATTTCCAAGTTAAAGGGATTTTGACTAATTTATTACTAAATTTGATTTATTTTATTTTTTAATTAAATAAAAATTTAACTCAATTTAAACATTTAAGTCACCCTATTATAAGTCATTTTTTTTTTCTTTAATGTTTTCAAATTTTAGATTCTAAAACAATTGAACCAAATTAGTGTATCTATAAACTGACAGGGATAAAAATAGATTAAAAAAAAGTGAATAACCAAATGTGCAAAAAGCAAACCCATAATTTATCGTTCATGTTTCAAAAGTCAATTGAAGAATCATGTGCTGACCCATGCATTTTTTCCTTAATCTTTGAATTGATAAACATAGTAAACTTGACGCGATCTTGATTTAATCTATGGGCACGAAATCATGTGTGTACATTTAGACTCTACGACGCATACGAAATGAACATGCATGTGGCATGTGCCATCCCATCTTGTACGCTTAAATTTCCTTATGAACAGACTGGATTCACCATTTTTTTTTATTCCCTTCTCCGATCTCTTTATTATTCCACATTATCCCTTATAACTTCCAATACTTGATCACATATTTTGCTTATAAAACCCTCCATTCTTCACTTCTACCAATGCAATAGAAAGAAAGAAAAATGGCATTGCAAGCTCTGGTTAGAATCCTTCTATCACTTGTATTCATCTCAGCCTTTCTCCAATTAACATCATGTGCCTCCAAATCCAACCCCACCACCGATTCCACCAAAGTCTACAAAAAGTTCATAAAAGATCAATGCAATTCAACCACATACCCGAATGTTTGCTACAAGTCTCTCTCCCCTTATGCATCAACAATCAAAAGAAACCGAGTTACACTCACCAAAATGTCCATTCACGTGGCTCTAAAAGCAGCGAAAATTGCATCTAACACATTGAAAAAGGTGTCCAAAACGAAGGGGCTAACATATGGAGAAACCTCGGTGATTGCTGATTGCAGAGAGAACGTTGATGACACTGTGGATCTTCTTGGCCAATCTGCTGATGAGCTGGCACATTTGAATGGAACATCGATCGATCAGAAATATCAATGGGATAACATAAAGACATGGATGAGTGCTGCCATAACTGATGAGTCTACATGCACGGATGAGTTTGATGAAATACAAGTGCGTCCTTCGCTGCAGAAGACGATCAAAACCTCCGTTTATAACGTTTCTTGGTTGAATAGCAATGCCTTGGCATTCGTCAACAAGCTTTACTCCTAAATGTTCATTCAATTAAACCATACTCGTCTTCAATGTATGTTTCTTCCATATGACATCTATATACACAATTTTTCCCTTCTAGGGTTAGTTGTGCTTGGCCTATTTAATTGTTCCATATAAGTCACTAAGGTTATTGTAAAACTGTGGCTTTCAGTGTGATTCTTATGTTACATGTATACATGGTGTATATGATCAGCTACTCGTGTGTGTAGAGTGTAAGAACGATAAATGAGATTGAATTTATATATTATTTTATATAGATATAATTATACAGTTAAGAACTAAAGATTAGCTCATTATTTAATTTAATAAATAAATATGAGCTCATTTAATTAAGGCTGCTTGCATAATGGACTATTTATCATTAATTTTATATATGTAAAATAAACTTATGAAATAGTTTAATTTAAATTATTGATAAATATATTTTTTATTTTTCCACTTAAAAATATATAGTCAAAAAACGAAAGAGGCTCCAATATTTTTTAGTTCCGCATGTATTGTACTTTCGAATGGCACGTCATCTCTACGATCTTGATCAGTTATTTTATTTTATTTTTTAATGGGAACCATTTTCATGATGATCATACTGATATCAATTAATTAATTTGCAAGAATAAATTTTCGTCTGAAATAGGGCTATATAAGCCTATAAGGAATCTCAAACAATTGAAAAAGTGGAAATTTAAAAAGAATTAGACTCGATCCTTCTTCTAAGAAAATCAGAGAGAACCTAGAAAACGGTCAAAGCTAATGCGAAATAAAGGAAAATATAATTATCAGAACGATGTATAACATTGTATATGGAGGAATATTAGTTCGAATCCAAAAATAATGAACACTTACATTTGATCTCTAAATTTAGAAGGTGATGTCATATCACCTTAAAACTAATAAAATGTCAAATAAAAATCACATTAGTCTAAAATTCAACAAAATATGTAACTAAAGTTACAATATTGAAATATCTTAAAAAACTAAAATGATATTACATATTTAAATTTAGAGAGTTATATATTTGATATTGTAAGCATATATTTGACTTTTTTTTTTAATTTCACAAACTTGTGACACACTTTCTATTTTCATGGGCTAAAATACTATATTAATGTATACTCTTAATATAAACTAAAAGCTTAAGTCATAAATTATCTACTCTGACCCTATGATATGTAAAAGTTGGCAAAAATTGTATAGGCCATTTCCCTCTAGCCCTAAATTTATGGGCAAAGTATGTGATTAACATTGAATGTGACTTGGATATTTAGTTGTCCATTTAATTAATTTATTAAACATTGAATTCAAGTCATCAATCACGAGAGGCTTACGTGAATGTTAAAAAATAAATTTGATCTTATAATTTTAAAAAAAATTTATTCAAGTCTTAGACTTAAAAAAGTTTTTTTTTAATTTATTTAAGTCTTTAGATTGAAATCCTTAATTTTAGTCATCATTCTCGAGCCGACTTAGAACAATTATAATGGAGTTACTTGTCCCATGAAGTAACTGAAGCTCCGATTTCTTGTCATTGGAGGACTCTGACGTGACAACATGAGTTGCTTGAAGAAGAGAGAGAGTTGCTTTCTCAAATAATCGTTTCTTACCAGATTTCAAGCAGATCTTATTGAACATATTTGAGAACGTTTCAAAAAATAATAATGGTGAAAATTTATTTTGTATAATATTTATGTATTTATTATTATTGCTTTATTTTATTTTTAATATCTACTTATTGTATTTTTTTCTCGTAATTTATTTTCTTTCATTGTAGTGCAACTATTCTTTTTAATAAAAAATTTAAATTTAGTTCATAAATAATTAGAAAAAAAATTCTAAAAGTTGAATTTCTTAAAATTTCTTACCATATATTGGAGTAAATTTATTTTTGAGTTGCTTAATGTTGACATGGCACACTAGAGACCACTCTTTTCATTTTTTAATGCATGAAGCAACTCAAATGAATTGCTATCATTGGAAATGGTATGTTTGGATAAAAAATTTAAATGGAGCAATTTATTTATTTGAAGAATTTCAAATTCTCTTTGAGGTGAAATACCTTGCTTGGATAGAGAATTTATAAGGAATTTGGAATTCAAGCATTTGTGAAATTCCTTGAAATGTAAAATTTGAAATTTCTCATATTTTTTTTCTTCTTATTTCACTTATATATTTTATCTTATCTCTTATCTCTTCATGTTTTTAATTATTTAATATTCAAAAATATTTTTAAAATTATTAAATATTATCTAATATTAATTTTTAAAATTATTATAAATATTTAAAAATTAGCTAATATTTATTTTTATAAAGTTTAATTTAAAAATCTCAACATATAAATATATATTTAAAATCAATTTTACCATGGTGGAATCAAATTATCATATCCAACCCAACAATTTAAGATTTGATAAATTTGAATTGACTTATCCAAACAAAATATTTTAAGAATGATAAAAATTGAAATCAAAGTAATTCAAATACCAAGAATTTTAAATTCTTTGAATTTATAAAATTCCTCATCCAAACACACCATTTAAGTTCTTTTAATTTATTTTCTTAAGTGTCGTTGGCGTTGGTGATTCCTTCGTGGCATCATCTCAACCCTCAAAACCTTTTTATTTCATCAATCTTTATACAATTAACAATCTTTACTACTTTCCATTTCAATTTTGTAATGAGCTGATCATCTGACTAACCATTCCACGCGTGACAGCGTGAGATATAAAAATTTGACCATGAGAGAGCCAACAAGCCTTTTTGCATGGGATTAAAAACATGTTTGTGTTAGCCACTAAAACAGTTCAAAGAAAGTGAGTACTGGTTGAAAACTTCTTTTAATACTGGGATCAAATTGAAAATGAGAGAAATTTATGGGACCATAATTATCTTTATTATTAGCAATGGTTTTTCGCGATTGATTCCAGTTTCCAAGTCCCCATAAATGGAATCTTCTTATGCTTTTTTTTATGAATTCTTAAATTGAAAGCTATACAATCATGTGATTAATTAGAGATTTAACATATAAAAATGCTTGTCTGAATGTAGTTGCAATCGTTTTATATTGTTTATCGTTGACAAAATTGCAAACTGCCGAAAGTGTGTACCTTACTATGAACAAGAGATTATAATGACATAGTGATTGCTTCCTACATACTACTTTACTCGGTAATCATAATTCATTATTTTTTCATTTGCTAAACTAAGAAGTTATATTATTATCGATCAGGATATGAATTTGTAATTTTTGCTTGTGCCACCACGTTACTCCAAACATTTTGTGCTGCCTTGTTTAGTTAATTACTTTCTTAAGCGAAGAGGGACTTGGTTTCAAAACAAAAGATCATTGAAAGAAATTATTGGTTAATGCTCACAATTAGTTGTACAAAAAGAAAAAGAAATAATTTACTAGCGGGACATCTGAAACTCTTGCAAAAGTACGTCCTCTTCTTTTCAAACTGTAGTTATATTTTTTCATCGACAATTTCCGGTTAACTATACTACAAATTGCACCACAAATTTAGGATCTCTTTTCGTCTCAAGAAATTGTATTTTAATTTTTTTAAAGGGAGTAATATTATTTATGTTGTTTTCTGCACGTCTCGAGTCCCTCATTCTAACAAATATAACTAGTTTACACGTGCTTTGAGGGTGGCATGTGCAGGTTGCGGCAAGAATACATTTATTGGATGAACTATGAAGTGTTAGTTAACAGAGTTTTGTTCGATGTTACGTTTGAGCATGAATGTATTTGATAGGGGAGATGAAGAATGCCAAGTTGGAATTTGATGAAGCAAGTTATTATGTGCTGATGCCTGATGCTGTACTTGTACATATGATATCGTAGAATCTTTATGGCTTATCGTAATTACATTTGTGGAACAAAATAAAAACTGAATGGAACATGCACCAAGCATGTCTTGTGACTCAAGAAATAACACAAATGAAATGGATTGTACTTAAGGTAATGTACATATAGCTGTCTAATAATCCAATCCTCTGTCAACCAGCATCACACCTTGTCTTCTAATTAATCTGCCTACATTTTCAGATTCTCATAGCAAGTACAAAATTATGTTCATTGTTTTAAGGCATCTCGGTGCAAAAAGATGCATGCCCACACATAATTGGAGCAGCTGACTCAGCACTCAGATGCTTATATCCAAATATTTCAACATTGTTGCCTTTACCAGTTTCCACTACGCACCCGGGCCATCTCAGACCATAACAATAACCTTTAATTATAACTTAAGGCAACCAAAAAAGAAAATATATGGATAACTTCATCCATAACTTGTGGCATTTTTTTTCTTGTATTAAATGCATTTTATCACTGAAACTTTTATACATACCAAATCGAATTTTATACATTATTTTAGTCATTTAACACACTCTTTTCATGCGGAGTACTGAATTCTTATTAGGATAGTTGTTATCTAATAGCTCATTATCTTCGATTTTAAACTTGGCAATGTGGAAGTGAGCGTTACCTGTTCGGGTGGACATACAATACAATATATCGTAGAATATACGGTGTTTTAAGGTTTACAGTCACACCATTCAACTACATCACTGATTTTTGGTTAATTTAATTTTCTTTGCAGCTTCAAGATGACCAAGCTTAGTCATCGCATAATATCTAGCTAGTTCACATGTATATTTCAGCTGTCCATTTCTGTCACATATATTTCACTGCTGCCATCGCATAATATCTAGCTAGTTCACAAGAACAATCGATTAAGTAATTAGCCATTTTTAATTTTCTATCTATATTTTTCAAAACGACTTTTACTTACTCTGAGTCATTAATAAATAGTCAGCATTTCTGCCACGATTGAGGTGCTTCAGGTTTTTGAAAGGTGCAAATACTAAGCTCTCAAATATCTTAACTGAATACCTTATTTTGGTTGTATCGATGGAACGAAGTGAGAGATATAGAGGGGGGAAAATGAGGGGAAAAAATGATATATATGATAAATAAAAAAGTAAGATAAGAAGAAAACTTTCATTATTTTGTTATCATTTAAGATCATCTAATAGCATCAAATATTCACGCATTTGCCAACAGTAATATTTTTCAACAAAATATTTATGTCTCGTGTGAATGGTTCTTTAGAGTCCACGAAAATATACAGTTTTGATAAACAATAGATAGGCTAATTGAGTTTAATATACATGTTTTTTGTGGGGTGCAGCCAGTGATGCAATGGGTTGGAAATTTACCAACCATGCAAAGTGTGAAAACTTGAACATGGCGGCATGGTACAGATTTTCATTCGGTGCCTTGAATGCAAAGAAGAAAAGTGCATTTTATTTGTAACAGCTAATAATGTGAAAACATGTAGTAAAATAGTTGATTTTCTTTCAATTTCAACTGCACCATTCGCTGCATTAATTGCACCATGTGCAATCCTTCCCTGTAAGTCATCTCACTTAGAGAGAAGAGTGAGAAAAAAAGTAGAAAGATTCTTATAGTTAATTTGTGAATGTTATTTATAAATTAAAGATACATTATTATTGTATTTTATATCTTTATTATTGTTATAATCGAAGTTTAAATAGTTTATGGATCTTGCTTCAAAAAAAAAAAAAAAAATAGTTTATGGATCTCGTGATTTTTTCTTAGAGGTTTTATATGCTAAAAATATTTGATCTTATTATTCTAGTTTTCTATTTTGAGTTCACAGAAATGAAAAATTATGAAGATATTTTTCAACAATTTTAACAATGTCCTAATAATGTGTTGTTACATATTTTTCAATAAAAAATCCCACTTTTAATTCTTTAACAAATGCTCTAAGGGCACGTTGGTTACCGTTTTCCTATATAATTTTTAATATAATTATTATAAAAACCAACAAATTTATATTACATGAAAATTTGTGATCGAAGAATAGTGTAAAAAATTTATACACTGACGATGAATTTATTATTTATTTATTTATAATTTATTACTTATGTCATGAAATGTACAAAAGAATATGGTGTTGTTTGTAGACACTTAATTCCAACGAATTGAATGTCATCAACTTAATTGAGCTTAGCGCAAGACAATGACTAAAGGCCAGAAGTGAATGGCACACCAGTAGCAGGCAACCATGTGCGCCCAGCAAGAAGGTTCGCAACGGTGAAACTTGATGCCTCACTTGGGCTTGTTATAGAATGAAAACCGGGCCATCGAACCCTGTTCCTTGTGGATGACCCCGGCCCAAAGTTTCTGTACTCTCCATAATAGAGAGTGTTCAAAGCAAAATTCGTGTTGCCCCACGGAGACCAGCCCATTGGGCTCACTAAGTTATCCAAGAAAGTTTTCATGACCACAACTCTCGAGTACCGCTGCCAAGGGCGGCCCAAGAAGGTGTTGAACATGCCAGAAACGGGCCTGAAGTCCGGGGCGGCCCTGATCTGAGAGTTGTGAATCGAAAACCCAGTGTTTTGAAATGGGTCATCTCGGCCTTGGGCCGTGATCATGTTTGCTTGGCCATTTAAGGGCCTTCTTACGAGAATGATACAGTTTTGAAAAACAACAGCGGCGTTGCCGAAAATGAAGTCAACGGTGCCATAGATGTAACATCCTCTGTAGAATTGTCGTTGTGCATGGACCATGAGAGTGTCTTGGTACCCTTCGATGGAACACCGATAGAACACAGAGAGATCAGAGGCTGATCGAAGTGCCACAGCTTGACCCCTGCGAGGACCCGCAGTGTTTCTGAAGGTAATGTCACGTGCAATGAAATGAACACCATCAATTCCTGAAACATATTTTATAATTCACTTTCTTAAAAAAAAAAAAAAAAAAAAAAAAAGGGGAA